TTTTCCCTGAACTGGATCCGCAACTTACGGCACTTGAGGGCGATGGGCCTCGCCCCCCCCCAACATCTATATCGCACACCACGTCTCTAGCTGCCGGCGGAAGAGCATTCCCTTCCCGATCAAGAGATGTCGGAACTGCCAAATCTTTTGGCGGAGTCGCTCGATTTCTTCTGGAATTTGATTATCAGATCCGCATAGTTGAATATCTTCGATCCTCACATCTTCCGTCACCACAGGTACTTCAGGCAGCACCGCCATCTGACATCTTCGGCGTATAGATCGCTTCCTTCATGGTAATACACGCATTCATCATAGTCTTGATCTGAGTCCCAGGTAAGATCCAGATCCGATGTGCCTGGGTGATCTTCCACAACAGGTGATGGATCCATGCCCGTTTTTTTGCGGCACAGACGTGGTGCACTTGCAATTCAATGGATCACCAGTCGCATGTCTTGTCCCAGGCTGTACACTCATCATTGATGGCAGATCCGCTCCACCGCGTCCCGACGGCGGTGTTCCTTGATCTTGCGCCATCGGATGTAGTTGATCCAGGCTGACGTCCTCAATTTCACCTCGGCTATCTTCTTCTCGCAGTCCTTTCAAATCCGTGATCTTCTCCACCAGCTGATCAGTCGCCCATGTATCTAGTATCACTTGATTGCAACCTTCTAGCGCCTCCTTGACCATTACGGCAATGCGATATAGAGTCTTCGTCTGCGATAGACGATAGATTCGACTCTTCGCTCGCGACAGGCGCTAGATCCAACGGTCGCACCTCCGACGGCGACTTGTCCGACGGCAACTTGTCCGGCGGCGACTCGTCGGAGGGTGGGCAGGCAGGAATATCTTGATCCTGACTCGCCTCGACTTTCTGGCGCTGGATCAACGTTGCCCTCGGTCTTTGGAGTATTGCACGCGGAGCTTCATACTCGGGCCGCTTCACCGCAGGCATCGGCGGGTTCTCGATCTTCGTTTCCTCGGATCAGGTGTCCGTCGAGGCTTCTAGCGCTAGATTCTGTCACTCCATGTAACGACGAGAGCCGATCGAGATGAAACCCGGTATTCGCGGCACATGATCCCCAGCCAGCCAGATCCCGATTCGTTGGTCTTGATGCAAGATCAGCACCTCGTCCCCAATGTTGGTGATCGCGATATATTTCGTCCGCCCTGGTCCGTTGGATATTGTCGGCACCCATTGATCTCTACGCGTGACCCACAGTTTATCGTGGATCGACAACCTCAGGCACAGTGGCAGTTCCATCGACTCCCCTGCTTTGATCCGAAGATATTGACCGACGTTGACGATCTTGGCTTTGTCACTGTAGAGCTGTCGCCTTCCGCTGAGCTGGATCCGGACTTCGCCCGGCAGACTGATCGATCCATGGGCTAGATCCAGGCGGATCCCAGCTGGAACCATGAAGTCCATGCCGAGTATAGCTTGTTGGCCGGTCAGATCACCCACCCGGATATCGAAGAAATACACCAGTGATCCAGCGAGAATCACCTTTATCCGAGTTTTTCCTTCCGTCTGGTACACGTTGTCTCCAATTCCCACACAGTCTTGGATCTGACTCGAGTCGATATAGCACCCAATCTTACGAGCAAAGGCGGTATCCACGATGGACACCTCGGCGCCGGTATCTAAGAGTAAGATCGCCTTCTCATTGGGGATCTTGCCTGTGATCTTCGCCTGACGAAACCACTTACCTGGCGAATGATGTTTCCAGTAACCACGGGAATCTCCTGGTAGCAGATCCATGGTCGTTGACCGTCGGTACTCCGCGACCTTGTTAGGCCTCTGGATCTCCGGAGTAACTTCCTGATCTGCGGGCTTGAGCCATAGATCGGGATCCTGCTGTCTCCAATAACCTCGCGATTCTCCTGGTTGTAGATCTACGCTCATGGTGACTTCGGATCTGGCATATTCGTCGACTTGGCGCAGGCTTGAAATTGCAAAGGTGCGTTTCCCATGCAGATCATGTGTATTACCGTGTAGATTTGGTCTTTTACTAACCTGATCTACCGATTTCTTGTTCACAAATGCATAGATGCACTACCTAGAACGCTCAGCTCATATCGGATTCCACCCCGACGACCATCCTAGTTTAACATCTTCTCAGCCGCCTCGGGTAACATACCCATGTGTTTCGTGGGGTTAAACCATTGACGGATCTGGTTATAGAATTCTTCCATCGGGCATTTTCCCATGTCATGCAGTTCTCCACATCCGCGACATACGAAGAGGCAGTGATCCGAGGGATGTCCTCTCTTGCCGCACTTCGTACATGTAACGCGCCTCCAGCAACCAAGATCCGAATTCTTCCTGGATCCACAGTGTGAACACCGATCGCGGTTAAACCCGTTATCGTGGATCTTCTGGTTGTGATCTTGATGGCCCTGATCACGCTCCGGCAGTCGTGGATCCGGGGCCGCCGGCTCTTTCTCCATCTTCGGGGTTACATCTTCATTCGTTGCGAGGAAGATCTTGCGATGGCTATCCACGTCGGAGTCAGACCCGCCCGATCCGTCAGATTCGCTATCAGATCCAGAGTCGTTAGCTTG